TCGGACCACACGGACGAGGTTAGAAGCCTTTCTTCCTTATTTGCTCTTGCAGGCCCGGCCATTCACCTGAGATTGCCTCACTGGCACAGCTTGTCCATCTGGTTAAAGGCTATGGCTAGGGACCCTAGATCTATCCTGACATGTTAAAACAGCTGGAGCTGTTTCTGGCGACACTGTGCTACTGCGTAGATAGCCTAGCGGATTCTCTCCCCAACATTTATAGGGGAATTTAGGGTTTTGCCCTATTCTAGACTTCAAAGTGACACTAAACTCAGGAGCTAAATCTTAAAAATGCATTCAAATACCTTATCTATTAACAAAATGTATCTTATTTGTGTATCACTCAGCTGTAGATCCTCAAATCATCTCTGAATTGGTGCTGACACTGTCCTTCCTTCTGGAGGGTGGCTACTTTTGTTCCCCATGGTCCCTGTGTGTGTTCTAGCCACAGCTCCAAGCTCGTTCCCATGATAGACTATAAATTCAATACAAATTAGTAATCTAAACATGAGATTGTAGTCCAATCTCCATGCACATTCTCTGTGTGCCCTCCCAGACAATGCAGACCAATTGCAAAAAACGGTATTCCATGATACCTCTCAGTTGCTGGTTTTAAGCGGATTGGCTGTTGAAACCCAAGTCCTGAGGTGTAGGGGCTTGTCTGATGCTGTCCTTCCTATGTTCTTTCGGGCTAGGAAGTTCACCCCCACAAGGGTTGCCATTGCACTTGAAAAGCATGCAATGCGCAGTGCAAGGCCAGAAAATTCCATCCTTGGAATTGCGTGGGATGCATTCTTTCCTTTTTCCAGTTTGGTTTGGACCAGCATTTGGCCTTAAAGGAGAACTATGGGGTTAGGGCTTTTCCCCATAGTTCTCCTTAGGGTAACGTCCTCCCGTCACCCTAAGCTCAGTATACCGCGAGCTACAGCTCGCGGTATACTGAGACGCCGCAGTATACTGAGACGCCGCAGCTACAGCCGCACCAACTATGAGAGTCTCCATCTTGGAACACATGGGGCCAAAGATCAAATTGGGTGCAGGTTTGTCAGGAGGAAGCCCAACCTCCCTTAAAGGCACAGAGACACATAGGGGATCCCTCACATCACAACGGCAGCTGAGACCCCCCATGCGTCACTGCACCAAATCAAAACTTGTCTCACCACTAAGGTTAAACACAGAGGTTTAGATACAGGTGTATCTAAACCTCTGTGCGTTTGTCATTTGTTTTGCTTGACTGATTTGGTGCAGTGACTGTGGGTCAGCAAAAGTCAGCTTGGCATCCTAGAAACCAACCATCAGCCGCCAGGAAGTTGAATAATGACAGCAGTCCCCTGCCTGCCGCTGCTGTCAGTTAGTTGCTAGGACGCTAAACTGAAAAAAAGCTTGGCTTCTACTGTATTCTACCTTCAGAGATGTATTTATAAAGGATTCACAGAGCTATTCACCCTGCAAACTTGCATGTACATTCGTTCTGTCCGAATGGAGGCAAAACGAATGTTATTACCATATTAACCATAGCATACCACTAGATACAGCTTAGGAGCATAAACAATAAATAGTTATTTCCTTAGGAGCATAAGAAATAAATACTTCTGTCCTATGCTTCTTAGCTGAATCTATTCCATTCGCACAGAATAAATGGACATGCAATTTTACAGTGCCAATGGCCTTGTGGATTGTTTATAAATACACCCCTAAGTGTTAGTGTCAGATAACATGTTGAGGGTCCGGTTTTAGGACCGCTTCACACCAGTTCCAGCGCGATTCGCTGCTGGAATGCACTGGAGTGCATCCTGGGTGGCTTTCTGCGTTTAGGGGTGGGAGGGGGTGTGGTGGTGTACTAAAGTCAATGGCAAAACAATGCCTGCGTTCCGGTCCAGTGCGATCTGAAAAAATGCTGCTGAAAAAGTACTATTTTTTCAGATCGCACTGGACCATAGTGGAGGGTATTCTTGTAGCCGCTCACTAACTTTTACCACTGATGAACAGCAATGTACTGTGTTGTTCTGTTCTTATGTGTATAACATTTTCATGTGTTTACATGCATTTTTGCAAGCACAAAAGTTAAAAGAAGCTTACAAATGGGAAAATACAGCAATAAGCTTCTACAAATCCACTTTGTAAGTTTTTAAACTAACTTTTTATATCTTTATAGATATTTACAGGTATGTTTTGCATATAAATAGTTGAAACAGAGTGCAATAACGCATTATGGGTTCATTATGAGCAGAACAGTAGCTATTTCCTTTTTAAAAGTAAGTCTCTGACTGAAATGTTGTAGGAAGCTATCCAAAGAGAGGGGAGTCATTGCTCTTATTCATTCATTTGTGTGTGAATTTCAGCTTAAAGAAGTATCACCACAAACTAACACATATTTGGGGGAATCCCCCAGAGGATCAAGTACATTTAGCGCTTGATCCCATTCTGATCGGTGCTGTAATTGTAAAACAACGAAAATCCTTTTTTTGTTTTTGGTGCTTGTAGCTCCACCCCAGGCTGAAGCCCAATTTATAGGCATTCCTATGGGCAAGCTACAGCCAGCGTTGAAGCCACCTCCCCCTCTCCTTTGTGTGCTTTGTGTTTCCTATGTAAAGTAATGTGCTTGTGATCAAGTACCGTATTTCGCGCTCTATAAGGCGCTCCGGACGATAGGACGCTGGGCTTCTGTGACAGAAATTCTGTGACAGAAGCTGCAGTTAGTGACCGCTGAGACAGGTGGCGTTGTCTCGGTAATCACACAGAGCAGACAAAGAACGACGTTCTTCGTCTGCTCAAGGGGCTCTATGGTGAGCATGTAAGGTCTTATAAGGTCTTTTTTTGGTGTTCATAACAGCTTAGCTTCGAAAGCTAGCCATACACCTGTCAATTATTTCTGTTTAACATGCGGGTTGAACGAAAAAAATTGATGCTGTTTGCATTGTATTCTGACAGGTGGCGCCGTCACCTATCAGAATACCCGATCAGAGCGGGCAGCTCATTGGCTGCCAGCTCTGATCATACAAAGATTTTCCAGCAGGCTCCTTTGATCAGCCGATTGAGGAATGCCGGCTGAAAGGGAGCCAACAGCCCCACACACTGTGCAAATTCCGGCCGGTACATTAAAAACTGGCCGAAATACACTGATAAACATCAATGTGCTGTGTTTTTATGCTCTGATGTGTATAACATTTTCATATGTTTACATGCATTTTTGCAAACACAAAAGTGAAAAGAAGCTTAAAAAAGGAACAATGCAGCTTCTATAAACCAAGTCTGAAATTTTTTAAACTACTTTTTTATATCTGATTTCATATATATTTATGGGTGTACAATCTATGTTTTGCATATAAACAGTTGATACAGAGTACAATCATGACATAAGATTGTTACAGCATTATGAGTTCATTATAAACAGAAGAGTAGATACTTCCTTTCAGAATCTCCGTCTCTCATTGAAACTTTGAAGGAAGCCATATAGAGAGAGGGAAACTCAACGGGGAGTCACTGCTCTGGATCGTTCACTCATGTGTAAATTTCATCTTAAAGGAGAAGTAATGGCAATATTTTTTTAATCCCCCAGGGGACCAGGTGCATTTAGAATTTGGGCCCATTGTGATCGGTGCTGTGATTGTGCAGCAAAAGAACATTATTTTTTTCTTTTTATGAAGGCTGCAGCTCCACCCCAGACTAAAGCCAAATTCATGGGTGTTCCTAGGGGGGAGCTATAGCCAGAAATAAAGCCATCTTCTGCTTTCCTCTGTATGCTCTGTGTTTCTTATTCAAAGAAATATGTAAAAGGAATGTTTGGGATTACCAGATCATTGGCATACTACTCTTTGCCTATTATCAAGTAATCCAAAACACACAAAAAGTACAATACAGATCTATATCTGCTCCCTCTGCCCATATATGACTGGGAAGTCAGGCATGCATTCTACATCCTCCCCTTCTCTCCCTACTTTTTACTTCCCCCTTTCATGTCCCAGTTCTGTGTACCCCAGCCAGATTGACACATTTCCCCTCATCTGCCACTCTTTTGTCTCCACGGCCAGGCTCACACTTGTGCAGAGAGCCAGGCCCCAGCTCTGATGTCACAGCCCTCTGCTTTCTTTGGCAGCAGCAGGTGCATGAGTGAATGGTTGACACTGTAAGGAACTACAAGTCCCCATGCTGCTCATTCACTTTTTTTCATCACAGACAGCTGAATTTCTTGTAAACTAAGAGCACACAAGGAGCATACACAGGAGTCTTGCGATGACAGGCCCCCACTCCCTGCTTTGTTGAATGATAACGCTCATCTCCAGAGCACCTCTGCTGCCAGAAACAAGCATTGTTACTCACACCTAATTATATATTGTCTCCTTCTGTGCAGTGTGGCCAGACAGCCATGGGGGGGGGCAAGAACAGGATCAAGTGCTACATGCAGTTTGTCCCCTTGGGGGTACATACATTATTTTATTTTGTGACGATACTTTTTATTTAAGCTATTAAACTTTGTAAGCAACAGACTATTTTGCAACAAAGAGGCCTGAAACATTTGAAAATGTATCAATAACTCCACATGCTTGCTGCCTGTGTAAATACAATAAATGTAACATTTTATATTGACCAACTAAAGACAAATATAAAAAATGTACAAAGTACAACAGTTAAAAACAATATCAAATCATACAAATATTATGTTTTTCGTACTGACCATAATAAATAAAGAATATAACTATAAAGCCACTGTAATTGCCCTTTAAATGCCTACTCACAAAGTGAGTACAGATAAAAAAATATATAATTTTCAGTGAACAAGTGAAGGAGTATGAGCATAGTCCATTCTTATATATCTTTATACATATTAGATGTAAGCTGTCCTTACAGTTCTTTAACTTCTCATATGTTTCTGATATCGGTATGGAAGAAGCAAAAGAAGTCCTGTATTCCTATTTTTTTTATATCAGCCATTTTTTTTCAATTTTGCCGTAAGAAAGCAAATTCATATAAAAGTTATTATCAATCCTGAAGTGCTGCCAATTTAATTATCCTTGCATACTGAACTCAGTTTCCAAAACTGTGTCATCACAAGTGTTTTCCAAATCCATGTTTTTCTGAGTCCCTTCGACCTCCTGTGGACTCCTAAAATACTTCTTTAAGCATTTAACTTTCTTTAGATATCTGATCAGTCTGCGACGGAGTTCTCTACTTTTTAGAGCATAGATTATAGGGTTGACCATGGAGTTGACCAAGCAAAGAGTACTGCAGAAAGCAAAAATAGTTTTTATTTTATTGTCCAGTGGAAATAGCAAACTATGTATCATAATAATAAGAGCTGGAGTCCAGCACACCACAAGTACAGTTAAAACTATGGCTAAGGTTTTGGCCAGCATGACGTCCATTCTCATACGATGTTGTCCACGCTCTGCTTGTAAATTGTGTTGCTCCATATAAATTGTATGCTTATGCGCCTTCCATAAGATATGAGTATAGGAAAAAATTATGCAACAGAGAAGAATCATTATAAGGAGAATCCAACTTGCTAGGTATTTATTGTCAATCAAGGGAAAAAGTTCTGAGCACAATGAATCAGTATAACAGCAATTTACACCCATAAGTGGTAGAAATGAGATAATTGTGGTCCCAATCCACATTACAGTCAATGCCTGGAGTGCTCTTTTTTGGGTGACTATTGATTTATACTTAGATGGCATGTAAATACAAATGTACCTGTCAAATGCTGTCAGAAGTAAACTTCCAAGGGATGCAGTGAAGGATAAGGTGACACCACCAAGTTTGAATAGGAAAACAGAAGGGGTACCTGCTCCATGGAAGACATGAAAGTCAATAAAACTATAAGAAAAAATAAGACTGGCCAGTAAGTCTGCTGTGGCCAGACTGCCAATGAAGAGGAAGGAGGGTTTTCTTCTGAGATGAGCAGAACTGAAGATCATGGAAAGGACCAAACAATTCTCAAAGATACACACAGTTCCTGTTATAATACAAAGCACTGCTATAAAGATTTTCTGTGCGCTGCTGTTCAGGATCAGATAGCACTGGATGTCTATGCCTTCTGTGGCACATTTTCCAGAGTTCACACTGGCATTAGTGTTACAGCTATCCATGTTTATTGGTGTCCTTCCTTGCAAGTCAATGGAATTAACACTAAGGGAAAAAAACATTCAAATATTATACATAGAAAATTATAATATATTCAGTAAATATTCAATATATATAT